TGCCTGCTCTCCAGTCATGTATAAAAGTGCATAAATAGCTAATTTGTACATGAAAAGAGGTGCATGCATGAAGGGAGATAAGCTCTTCCATGCCAGTTTACTTCTTCATGTACTTTTCTCAAGGCCCAACTCTAATCCAGTCACATAAAAGACTTCCTACAATAGAAACAGCTCAATAATGGAACCAATTACCTAGACTAGTGATGGACTCTGCATCACTCAAGGATTTGTGGCAAAAGCTGATAGATCGCCATTAGTTACTGATGCTTTACTCTGGTTTTCCTGCATCAAGCATGGGGTTGGTCTAGACGGCCTGCAAATGCCTCTCCAACTCTACAGCCTGGCTCTCCTGTAATGAGAATCTAGAATATGGGTTGTTGTTGAAGTATGGTTGTTGTCGAATCACAGGTTGTTGTGGAATAGTAGACTGCTATTACATGCAAACTCTACACTATGGGTTAACTATAGGTTGTTAACCATGAACAACCTACAAACAGATCCCAGAAACAGAACAACAGTTTGTTGTTGGGTTGTAAACTTCAGGTTGTTCATGGTTAAAAACTGATTAAATTATAGGGTGGGATTTGCACATGGCAACAACTAATGATTCAACAACCACTTGTGAATTCATGGCAACACATACTTAATCCATACTCTGTGTTGCGGTTACATGCAAACCAGGTATTGATTTTAAGTTTAACTTCACTCACCTGCATGCCTCTTTTAGTGTAAAACTGCCCTCCCACACCCCCTCCGTGTTTCTTGCTTTATATGTGAATGCAGTTGACCTGTGAACAAGGGTAGTGGCCATTCCAGCATTGTCCAATTTAATTTGCTTCTGTTCAGATGAAGAAATTTAGTTTTAAACTTAAAAAGAACAAAGGGGAAAAAAAGACAAGAATGCAACTACTACAGCTACTTCAGGAAACCAGCCAAGAGATGTGAGCAAAAAAAAGAGCCAAGTTGTCTTTTTAAAAAAGGACATGCCACAATTGTTATCTGTGTAACCACCAAAGTAAATAATAGTGAAGGTAATTATCTAGATCATGGGTGAGCAGTACCTGTGGTCCCAACATAGTTAGGCCACAAGTGCCATCAGTCCTGGTCATGCCTGTTGGGGCTGATGGGAACTGGAAGAACAAGACCTGGAGGGCCACAGGTTCCCCAGCCTTGATCCAGCCATTATCCAGACTATTGTAAATAAGAGAGGAACCTGGAGAAATATTAGGGGCTTCCCTGGAGGCTAAAGAAGCCCTCCATTAACAGCATGATTTAGAACAGGGAGCAGTAACTCTTGCTGCAGGAGCTTCTCCAGAAGCAGCAGGGCTTCTGGATGCTGTTAATGTTACATATTGAATGGTTTGGAGAGGACTTTAAGCCCAGGGTGGCTACATATCCATCCTGGGCTATGCCCCAACAAATAATCAGGGACAGTGGGGGCCCTCAGATATTGCCTCCCCCTTCTCTACTCAATCCTCAGCTGGCATCTCAGGTGACCTTGGAAGCACTGAGGGGAACAGGGATGGCAGCTGCCCAAGGTGCCACTTTGGGCAGCTGTCTTCTGCTTCCCTGTCCTGCATTCCTGCTGGTAGAGTAGGATTGCTTATATGCAGCCCTGGCCTCCTGGCACCAGAAGAGTGTGGGGCAGAGAACCTGAGTGGGAAGGCACAAGCTGCCCAATGCTGAGCCCAGGATGAGGCGGCCTATGCCCCTTTCCTGCTGCTCAGCTGCCGCACAACTCAGCTGAACCAGACCATTCCTGCAGTGGGCTGGGTTCCTGGCCCAGCACGAGATGGCCCACGCCCTGCTTCCTGCCCCTCCACTGCCCACCCTCCCAGTCTGATTCATGAAGTTCTAACTAGTCAGGCGGGGGCACAATTCTCCCTGTGTGTGTCAGGAACATGTGCCGTTATCAAGTGCCCCAAGGGAGCAGAGGGCTCACATGAGCCACCTCCCGCCACTGGGTTGGATCCAGCACCACGAGGAGGCTGCCGCTTGCAGAATGGGACTTTATCCTCTCCACCCTTCTGCAGCTATCCCTGTAAGGTCCCCCATCTACTTTGGAGGATTGGGGGACTCCCTGGAAGGTACATGCAGAAGGAGAAGATGTTACTCAAGTCCTGTTTTGCTAACAGCAGCCTCCAAGGTGGATCTTATCCATTAGCCAATGGGTAGCCCTGATACTCATGCAATCCCCCCCACACACACATAAACCATTGCTCCCCCTCTTCTTACTAGCCTTGGAAGCTCTGGAACACTCCAACTTATCCAGAGAAAAAGTGCTAGCTGGAGGAACTATGTCTGAAACTATGACCTACTCCCTCCAGCTGAGATACCTAACTCTGAAATCATGTCCAAGTTACGACTGGGGTTGCACAGGGTAGTCAGAATGCAGCAGGGTGGTAAAAGTCTCTTCTTGGCAGTATTTATTGTCATCACCATGCATCAAAGCTGTTCCCTCAAACAACGGTTCACAATAGGAAATTTAGATTTATTGATTTCAGCTTCCTCTGCATCTGAACCTTATCTGCTGTATTGGATACATGCATGAGAAATAAATTTATAGCGTTGAAGAGCTGGATTCTCTAAGCAATTTGTACAGCACCCAACCATTTTGGTTCCCAATAAACAATACTGTGTATGACTCAAGTAAAGCAAAAGCCTTGAGAGCGATTCAGCTACCTTCAATGCCCATTATTATGTGAAACACTAACCAACTGGGCTGGTTGGCTTCTGTGAAATAACTCTGGACATGCTCTGTGATGTGACTGTACTGTAGTCCATAAATTTTTACACATTTACTCAGAGGAAGTAAATTTCCTTGACTTCAGTGTACTACTGAGTGAGCAAGTTTAGGACTGGATGACCATCATTTTGAAAACACATTAAAAAAGAATAATACTCCAAAGAGCTTTCAATTGGAAGTGGTCAGAGCTGCCATGCTGTATAGCTCAAAACACTGCGGCAGCTGGCATAATGAAAGTCCCGGGGCTGATCCTTAAAGACATTTCCAACCGTCAGTGTCAGAAACACTTGCGCTCTCTCACACTTTTCCATTTCAGGTTTCATACAAAGTGTCATGCTTGAATGCCCCATTGCTTGATAATCACGCACACCACACTGACGTGCTCCCTCAAAAACAAGGGCCATGCTAGATGGTTTTGCAATGAAAATATTGTGTTTTGGAAGGCAAAGCGAAAAAATCCATACAGGAGTAAGAATTCAATACTGAGAATTGAACTCAAATTGCAGACTGCTTTGAGTTACCCGAAGTCGTCTTTAGTCTAGAGGGTAAACAGAAAAATCTACAAAAGGTGTTGTGTGGGAGAAAGAGAGAGATTGCTTTGCATGATGGAAACCCCCAGTCTGATGTGTCTAATGGCTCTACACAGCTTGCCCACAGCACAATTAGGTTCTTCTATGGTCAAACTGACAAGTACTTCCTCTCAGTTTGGTTCTTTTCAAATACTGAGATGTGCATACAAGGCACGCTGTATTTCTTCTTATATTATATTGTGTGTTTTAAATTATTATGACTATTTTATATGTATATTTTAACTTATGTGGTTTTATTTATTGTTGTAAGCCGCCCCGAGGCTTCGGCGAATGGGGCGGCATAAAAATGTTTTAATAAATAAATTATAACACGTATGGAAAAATGTTAACTCTAATTAGAAATGCTTCTCCAGCCTCCCCACCCCCACCCCCAGCTGGGTTTCACTCTGGTGTTTGTGTTACCTCCTGTTGCTAAATTGGGCCCAAACTAGCAACCAAGTGCTGGTTTTGCCCCTTTTAAAGCCTTTGATACTCTGGATACCTTAAGAGCTGCTTTTTCCCAGTAAACCTTCCTGTACATTTGCTTGGCCCTCAGTGATGTCATGATGCTGCCAGATCTGATTGGCTACATTGCAGAATGATACCTTCTGATTCTCTGTAGCAGCCATGAGTGACTGGAATTATCTATGTGGCTTGTTCAGGAAAACTAGCCCCATGCAGACCGTTACGCATGCACGGTGGACTTTTTCGGGACAGGGAGCTCTGCCCCAACCCCCTCAGACATGCAGCTTCTTAAAAGACCTCCCTGTGTCTGCGGTCTCATCTCATCCTGTTCAAATGCACCTTTTGTCCCTTACAGTCTTAGTGTAATTTTATTTAATATATTGCTTTAATAATGCATTGCTTCACACTGCAAAAAACCACTTCATGTACATACATGCTTCTCCCCTCAGATTTGTAGGCTCAGCTTTTATGCCCACCCCACCCACCTCAGTAGAGCCAGATGTTGCACAACTGTATACACCAGTGCCCAAAGGATGATGGGATGCAATCCTGCTCATTTGCTCTTATGCCCCACCTTGTATATTTCTCACTAAGAATGACAAGCCTTGTTACACCTCCAATACCAAATTCCACATGCTCCGGTCTCTCTGTATTAATTCCTCCTTCCAGCATCATATTGTTATTCACAGGGGTAAATGGACCAGCAATCCCCCACCTATTCCCATCATCTTGTAGCTGAAAGAGCCCCTAACCACAGAAATGTGCTCCAGTGCATGGCCTGCAGCTTCTGAGAGCTGTACAGGATCTTCTCCTGTCCATATTCTGTTTCCAGAGGAGGGCAACTCTGCTACACTAACCCCAACGGGTACCAGCCACACAGGCCACATGCCGCATTTCCCCCTCCCCCGTGTTTTCCTTTCACACAAACTTCACATGACCACTACCTGCCAGTTTATTCCCGGAATGATTTTCCCAGGAATCTTTGGGGCATGCAGCCCAGGTTTTAACAAACCTATTCTAAGAAGTGCTTCCAGAAAGAGAATCCTGTTGAAAACCTGAATTTATGCAGATTTCTCCTCTTCCTTTAAATCTCAGTAACAGAGCCTTCCATAATTAGACATGAGCCGCCTGTCAGAACTGTACTGCCACCTGTGAAAAGTCTATGACTTCTTGCTCCAAGGATGCTTGATGCAAGCACTCAAGTTTGTCCTGACACTTACCTTCACCGCCCAAATGGATTGATCCAAAGGATGAAAAAGCTTGAAGCAGAAGCCGTCTTTTTTGGAGGGTCTCTCAATCAGTTCGCAAGAGTGCAGCAAGATGGTGCCCACCCAGTGTCCCACTTTGGGTGTTTTATAGATCAGCAACACTCCAGGTTTCAGCACACACCACAACTTGGTCCAGCTTTTCAGAGTTCCGCGAATCTGAAAATAAGAGTAAGAAGGCATTCTTCCTCTCTCTGCTAAAATAAAGTAGCTCCTACTCAGTGAAACAGCCTGAACAAGGACTATTTTTACTAACAGGGCCAGACTGCAGCACCTTTATTTTGAAAGAAAGTGCACGTCTCCGTCCCGAGACGTTCTGTAGGGGTCTGGAGAGAAAAGCTTTTAATAATAAATAAATAAATAAATAAATAAATAAATAAATAAAGTTTCCCAAGTGTTTGGCTGTACGGTTCTAGATTGAGTAACCTGGGGCTGAAGTCAAACTCACAGTTGTACTGTTTGTGAAGAAAGAGACTGATGCTCTCCAAATAGCTAGTTAAGAAGATAACATCTTCCTTTTGTCCCAAGATCCTGTTTTTGCTCTTAGACCTTGAGTCAGCCTTACTGTTAAACTACTCTTCCCTGGCAGGGGCCTATGGCCTCTTACCTTTCAAACACAACGTATGCTGAAGTACCTTCATTTGTACCTCTCCAGGATCTGAAGAAAAATATGCGCATGGCTTCATCTTGTTTTTACATACTGCAGCTCAGTTAGTGTTTTAGTGCCTTCACAGAAAGGCTATGGACCCACATTTGTCTTACGTATCTGTTGGGGCTGCAACAGAATAAGCTGATTGTGTCAGTAGAGATGGCAGGAGCTGGCTCCCGGTGATCCGCAGAGATCAGGAGATGAGCTTGTGACTGTATTATTGTGGACTGCTGGAGGAGGCTGCAAGTTGGTGGGAAGCCGTAACTACCAATAAGACCCAAAGGTTCAGCAATAAATCAATGTGCTCTGTGTATGAAGATGCAAGGTCATGGGACCTGATCACTGGCATTACCCAAGAAAAGGAGGTTAGATAGCAAGGCTGGAGAACTACTTCTCTCTGTAAACTTTAGGCCTCTTGAGAGAGATGGATTATTATCCTGGGGGGGGGGAGACATCTTTTTCTCTTTCCCTTAAAAATACACATATTATATGTAAATAATAAATTTCTATACATGTTGCAATTCACATGTCTGTGCTCTTCAGAAAACATGTCTGTGCTCTTCAGAAAACTGGGCTAGGAAATCATGCCTCAAGGCATTCTCAAACAAAGATGACTTTTGATAAGCCAGGAAGGATGTTATCAGTCTTTCTTACCATTTCCTTTGCTTCCCAAGATCTGAATTTTATCACCTGTTCTGCCACTTACACATCCCAGATACTGCTGCAGTCTCAAAATGTATTACTGCAGTCTTCAGCTTTTGTTTCCCAATCAGGACTAATTTTATGCTGCAAACACCCTTTTGAAAGATGGCAGCTGATGGATAATGAATGTACAGCTCTAAAAGCGGCTGGATCTTCTCATCCAAGTATTCCTAAAATGATATTTTGCACTAAATTACCTTGAGCCAATCTGCCATAATGACCACACTGGGGTCTTTCAAAGCACTGAAGAGTTGCTTGGTGGCTCTTTTCTTCTCCTGCCTGTAATTCTTCTTTTGCACCTGTTATAGCATAGAGATAAAAGAGCATTCATGAGCATATTTTTTTCTTTTTCCTCTGTACTGAAAAAAAAGAGGGAGGCAAGTTTAGAAGGGAAGATGAAACTCATGCCATTCATTTAAAGCAGCGACTAGCATTATAGGAAACTCACTGGAAGTTTTTGCAACATCCAGTCACCAGCGGGGGCTTTCTCTTTTGGCAAATTGCTATTGATTTTGGCTGTATGCTCAGTGCAGTTCCACTGAGCAAATCTTTTTCCTCAAAGAGCCCACACAGCATCGTGGTCAAACGTGCCAAACTAGGAACAGAGAAACTTAAATTTGAATTCTCACTTGGCCATCAAGCTCAGTGAGAGATTTTGTGTCAGTCACTCTCTCACCCTAACCTACTGAACCAGCTGTTTGTGCAGATAAAATGCAAGGGATACAGCTTACCCTGCCCTGAGCATTTTGGAGGAAGGGTAAAAATGTTATTACTATTAAACAAGAATCTTGGACAATGCAGAATTAAAAGAATGGAGTAGCAATTCAGACCTGGGGATGTTTCCCATTTTAATACCTTTCAGGTAAGACCAATGAGTGCTTGTAATCTTACTAATGAATAGTTAACATTTATCATGTTTTCAAATCCCCAGGGTCAGCATCTTTCTATGGCCATGAAGCTACAGCAAATGTAATGCATATAGATATCTAGCCCTTGCCAACTGTTTTGGACTTCAAATTCTACCTGTGGTCACTATGCAGGAATCCTAGGGTTTGTGGTTCAAAACATCTAGAGGGCACCAGGTTGGGATAGGCTGATCATCAACTTTCTACCACCACCCTAACTGGACAGGGTCCTTGTGTGCTGTGTACACTCCTGGGCTTTGGCAACAAGAGCCTCTCCCCTTCCCCTGGAGCCAGTGCTTTTAAAACACTGGGAGAAACTTCAGAAACAGCTCGTGCTGCATTGAAAAGCCAATGCCCACCATTCCAGCTCCCCTGCCATCTCCACCACAGGTAGCGACACTGGAAGAAGACTCCTTCCTAAAACTCTGGAAAGCTGCTGCCAGCAGGACAAACCAATACTTAGCCAGCTGGCCTAGCCAGTTGATCCCCTACAACAGAGGTGGGGAAATGTCTCAGGGTGTGGGGGCAGATGTCCCATCCTCTGCAGGCCAGATGCCTTCGGTGGGTGGATGCCATGCCCGATGCCATCTGGTGCCTGCAGTAAGTACTCTCTGAAGACCCTCTAGGTGGCACTTCAACCTGGCACCCGGCTTCACTGCACATAGGCCCCCCATGGGCTTGCAGCAACTACCAGGCAGCCTTATGTACCAAGATCTTTTTTCCTGACTTTGGGCATTTAATCTGCGGCAATGCTAAGAGCATTTAAATGTAGTTATCGGTTATGTAAAGTCATTCTGGTAATTCGAGGGCCTTTCAGGATCATAACCAAATGTAAGGGAAGGTAATTTGTTTTGGGAAAATTACTAGGTATGCAAAGATATTCTTTGGCATAAAAAATAAGAGGAGCATATTATGACATGGTGTGTATAGTGCGCTTGCCTGCCTGTGGTGACCTGGGATCAGGAAGGACACTCATCCGCTCTTCTTCGGGGACTACTTGGATACTACTCTCAACCATTGGGGTCCTGCTCTGAGTGCCAACTCCAGGGGAAGCATGGAGAGCTGCAGCAAGGGCCTTCTCCATTGTACCCCCCCCCCCCCATCTATGGAGCAACCGCTCCACTGCAGCCCAGCAGGGCCAAAGTCATCTCCTTTTCATTGTCAGGTTAAGATGGCCCTCTTCTCACTTGGCCATCCAGGGGGCTTGAGGCAGTGTTTTGCAGATACATTTTTTTGCAATTGTCTGTTTTAGGTGTTTTAAACTTGTTTTAAGGTTTTAAACATCTCTTTTTATGGACTGTTATAAACTGCCCAGATAGCTTTAGCTGTGGGGTGGTATAGAAATGAAATTAATAATAATAATAATTTTTATTATAATTTACAAGACCTGACTGCCTAATAAACCTGAAGGGTGAGTGGGAACTGCCTTTCTTTCCTTGAACCAACCTGTGTCTCAATGTGGACCAGTTTGCTTTGAGAGAGCTTTTGTGTGCGTGAAGAGTACACCTGCTAAATATTTATTGCACACCATTGCTGCAATTAGATTCTTAATATGTAGAACAGGAAATTTAATGAGTAATCTGCATCTCATTTTTAAAACAGCTCCTTTGCAATTCTTGCCTGAGAAAGCAGGTGGCAACAGCCCCTGTCAATGCAGGGAGCTTATTCTCTGTATTTGCAATATAAATAATGTAATGCCGCTGTAATTTATGCCAACAGCACCTGCACAGATCTGTTCAGAAGTAGGTCTCACTGATTTCCACAGGCCAGGTTCAGGTAAGGATGTCTAGGGCTGCAGTCTCAATCCTGATATATTGGTATGTCTGAATTTTCAAGACCATATTTTAAATTAATTATTCACACCCCACCATTCCAAAATAATGCCATCTCTGGGTGACTTGATTCAGGAGGGTCAACACCCCCTGCTCCTTTAGCATTGTAAGATCAGCTATGGGGTCTAACAATCTTGTCCAACCTGGTGTCCTCCAGATGCTTTGGTTTTCTATCTAACCCACCCAGCATAGTCAATGGTCAAGAATTCTGAGAGTTGTAGTCCAAAATGTCCGGAGGGCACCAGGGTACAAAAGGCTGGGTTACATGAAAAGATAATATACTTTGTGATGTTCTGATGGAATCCTTCATTTACATGTCTACCACTTTTAAGGAAGTAGCAAGGGTCCTGGCTATACCACTGCAGTTGAGGAACAGTTCACACTACCTTCAAACTATGAGCACTAGGAACCTTCAGTTTGGAAGACTGATCTAAGATCAATCTTCTTTCACCCACCTTCAATGTCTCTTTCTTGTTGTTTTTGCAAGTAGGAGATACACACTCTTTATCAGAGCCATTGCAGAGTTTGTACTCCGTCTAAAATGAAAGGAATTAGAATAAGTTAAATATGTAAATAAAATGCAAAGAGAAAAGCAATAGCCACCTAAATAATGAATGTGAGAAAATACAATGTCGAAGACGTATTAAGATGTACTCATTTCTCCAACACACAAAACGATGCTTCTGCAGCAAGGTAGGGATGGTATGGCTTAAGTCCCAAAACCAGGGACAGGAGCAGTCATGGTCACCTGCCATAAGCCAGACCATCAGCAGTGACCTGAGGCACCATCTTGGAGGAAAAAAGGCCACTACCCACAGAAGTGCTATGCAGGGGTTGCAACCTTGAGGTCTCGATTCAGGGACCATCAAACAGAAGACTTCCAAACCTGACATCCCTGAACCTGGAGCGCCTCCTTGAAACTGCAGCTCTGAGCCTTACACCATACAGGACAACCTGTGGCCCTTTAGATGTTTTGGCTCACAATTTCAGTTATTCCTCACCACAGGCTATGGTGGCTGGGGCTGATGGGAGCTGCAGGACAAAACATGTGGAAGGTCACAAGGTGCCCACGCACCCTGGCCACACAGGAACTGCTACCCTTGCCCCCAGAGTCATGCATACCAGATTGGCCTCGAGCCCTTGCTTGTCCTGCTCCCTCCAAAGTCCATGGGGAACTCATCTTTGCCCAGATTTGGCTTTTGGTGAAATTAGGAATTCGGATGGGACAACAGCACAAATCTCTGGCTCACAGTTTTGCACCACTACCCAGAGTACAACTATGCATTGATGGGGTCTCATCAGTGCCACAAGACCTAGCGAAGACCCAACTCCTGCCACAATGATGCACAACACCATTAGCTTTTCTTCTACTGCAAATGCCTGGATTTTGTATCTTGATTTATTGTGTACCACTCCAGTGTATCACTATGGAGAACACTTTATAAGTACATAAATACATACATACATAAAAATGATACCTTAATTAAATAAAACACACTGTCATGTAGCAAAGCATGTCAAACAAGCTTTTGGGGAATCTGAAGTGTTGCAGTGTTCCTTTCCTTTGCTTTGTTTTGGTTTTGTTTTATATTTTGAAGGTTACAATGCACAGATTGAGACCTTGAACACAGGTTGGCAGTGCAGTTTCATGTAAGCTAAGTCAATATTAACAAAAGGAAAAGTGTGCATGGCTATCAGGGCTCCTTTTGGTTCAGTTCATCTAGATACGGGCTTCTGCAGACCGTAGTTTTTACAGCTTTGTTTTCATGTAACCATTTCATTTAAAACAGCACCAAATGAAACACTTTCTGTTCTTCCAAACATCTCCCAGGAGCCATAGGCTTGAAGTATGTTTGCAAACTAGGAATTCAAGGGGATCAGATTTATGCCAGCCATAGTTAGCTAAAAATGAAAGGAAGGGAAATCAACCCAAAGAAGGGAAGATAGTCACTATGCATATGTCCATAGGCGGGTCCCATTCGATACTGTCTCATCAAAACTGAGTCTGCAAAGCACCCTTATCTTGGTTTTAAACCACCCGCTGAAGCTCAATGCTGATTTAAAGCTGGTTCAGCTGTAATGTGGGAGGCCTTGGGGCTTGTCTGATTCTCTCCTCCTCCTCCCTTGCATAGCCATGAGGAGACTGGAATCTCCACTTTTAAACAGAGAACATTTTCCATGATATCCAAACAGAGCATGAGCTTAAACTGTGGTTTAACAAACCAAGATTAATTTGTGCTTCCAGATCCTGGTTTGTTTATTTGCTTTTTTAAACTACACCTCTCCTGAACTCCAAACTCTTCCTCACAGCTGTACAAGGGTTTTTGAGGGGTTTGTTCACACAGTAAAAAGCCACTGGTTGGCATTATGTCTAAGCTAGGTCTAACATTAAAAGAGAGGAAGGCAAGATAATAAATCTATTAACTCTTGAATAAAAGCAGCTGGGATGGAAAAACAAACCCAAATCCAGATTTCCGTGAATGTATTAATTTGAGCTGAAAAAATATAGAAGAGGAATCGTGCTTTGGCAATAGCAAAATCCCCTAGAACGCTGGGGTTCTGAATGCAGTCCTCAGGGAACACAATGAACGTTTTGTTCCTGAATTCACGCCTGCCTGGATTCTTTCTCTATCAGAGCTTCCTGCCAACTGAGTCTGCTCCTGATTCTTTGAGTGCTGGATGTATAGCAAGCAGTGGGGGCAATGCATTCTACTAGCACAGAAAGCTTTCTTTAACTCAGGAGGGTTCAAAAACCCAGCCATGCTTTGACGGCATTCCAGTGGGCACCTCTATCGTGCTCCCCAGGCTTAAGTCTAGGAGGAAGGGCAGCGGCAGGGCAGCATTTTATTACTGCCTCAGCTACTTCTTCTCAGATGTACTCTAACATATTACAAAAGTGTCCAAAAGGTGTGAAAGGTTGGTAACCAATGCCCTTGGTTAACTACTCTTACTCTGAATGTTGCAAAACAGAAGGACACAAGCAGACTGAGTACACACTAGACATTTCTGTGCCAAGATCATACTGATGAAGAAAGCTTGCCCAGCCAGTAACTGAAAAGCCCACGGAAATGGCTGGTTGCAGAAGGGAAGTGTATTTGTGGCTTCAGTACATTCCAAAATGAGCAGGTGCCCACTTGACATTAAACAGCCCATTTTTCAACGTGAAGAGACAAAAACACTACAAGAGAGGCAGCAAGAGAGAGGGACAAATTTGCCAGAGTGTTGTGACTGTGAACGGCTTTCTGTACTGCAGACCTATCTTCGGTTTTTCATTTTTCACCACAGGTCACCAGGAATGAGAGCAGGATACCCCAGTCTGGACAGTCACGGGTGGTTAACAAGACACAGAACCTTTTAACTACCTCGGACAAGCTAGTCACATTCCAGCAGATTTACATAATTACCTTTGCTGGCTGTGGCTTCTTGTATTGTTTCCAACCTGGTAACGGTGACTTGTTGGAGTGGTTAAGAAACTACTGAGATCCCATGGCCTGTTGTGGGGGGGGGCACCAAATAGATCCCCCCCCACACACACACACAGTGATTGTGTGAACCAAGTTGATTACACTCTTCCCAAAGTATAGCTGCACCCCTTCTGTTCCCCCACTCCCATCTCTCATCATATTCCTACATTTAGCCTTCATTTTTCTTTCTCTGCCTTCCTCCACTGTCCCCAGCTCTCCTGGTCCATTAAAGGACTCCACATGCCTGTTTTGCTGTCCCTTAGGCCTGGGAACACCCTGCTAAAACTATCAACTCTTCTGGAACACTGAAATGATATTGCTTCACCCATTCCCCTTGAACTTTCTTTCCCAAAACTCACTTTTACTTTGGATTAACCCCTTTGTTGTTGGCCCCAGCTGAAATGAAGCCCAAGCATCTGCCCACAAATCATGCGCTCCACCATGAAGTTATGGATGCCAGGGGGCCATAGTTCCTTGACAGAACACATGCTCCGCATGCAGAAAGCCCCAGGACCAGTCCTTAATATCTCCAGCTTAAAGGATCAGGTTGTATAAGGTGAATGGAAAGTGATTTGTCTGCAATCCCAGAAAGCCAGAGCCAGTCAGAATAGAAGCAACTGGGCCAGATACGGATATAATGTGAATCGAAGCAAGGCAGCTTCCTATGTTTCTGCAGATTCTGTTTCCACATGCAACTGCCCCTTTGTTCAGACCACGCTTTAGAGGATAAGAAATGCGAATGCAACTATGGAGTATTATTGTCTTCATAGAAGAGAACTTGAAAGCACATGCATTGAAGTTCCTGATCACAGCCAAAACAATTAACTGAGAAAGACTGTAATTAGTTAACAGCTTTAGTAGCAAAGAAAGCCAGTCCCTGAATTACTTGCGGTTTTGCTGCCAATTCTCAATCTGTTCAAGCCCATATGTGAAACCCCCAGTTAAACACAATTGAACCCAGTACGCAATGACTGGGTTCACATGACACAATTTTTATTTTATTTTATTTTATTTATTTATTTAGAAGGCTTCTATGCCGCCCCATTCACCGAAGCCTCGGGGTGGCTCACAATAATAAATAAATAAACACAGTATAAAACAAGATAATATAATTTGAGTCAACCTGGCCCAAAAAATAAAATGAATAATATTAACAATTAAAATAACGTTTGAATAAAAAGGTCTTCACCTGGCGCCGAAAATCAAGTAACAATAAAAACAAATAAGCAATCATCGTGGAAAAAACCATGGCTGCTTGCTGTGTCTGAATGCAGTCATGGTGATCGACCACTGTGACTTACAGTGGTTGTGAACCACAATGAGACACAGCAGTCTACATTAGGGGTTCTCCCTACCACCACTGCTTGTGCCAACCAAACTTGGACAGCAGAATCCATCATGGTGAGCTGCTTGTCTGGAGTGGTTGCTGCTGTTCCCTCCAAGCAGCTAGCCAGAGACCATGGCTGACTGGAGCAACTGTCTCGGCTCTTCCTGCCTCCTGTCCCAGAGATCTTTGGGAAAGCAGCCAGGGTATCCCAACTGCATACTTGCACATGAATGGAGACTTCTTACATGTGAGTAGGAAGGGGGGAGAATCAGCTAGGACGCATGCCTGCCTGCCTTTCTCCTTGGGAGAAAAATGCTCTGGCGTGCACCACCTTCCCCAACCGAGCTTGCACTGTCTTATTACTGCTGGGGAGGAAGTCTCTCTGGCGGGCACCAGGCTGGGGAGCCATGAGTCACTGGTTTGCTCTGGCTTGAACTGGTCTGAACCAATCTGCTCAGCAGGGATGCATCCTCACTGAGCCCACATCCACACTCACTGCTCTTGCCTTGGAATAAGGGTGCAGCCTGGCAGAATACATGCTCCCACATTCCCACAGCTGCCCGAGCACCTCACGTCAAGGCAGTGGCCAGGAGTGGTGCCAGGGGCTTGGCAGGGATGCCCTGTTCTTGGAGCTTCCTCCCGGGCAAGAGCAGGAGGCTGATGACCTGCTCAGCAGGGCTGCCCTGAGAAAGTGAGAAAGGAGAAGCAGTGCAGAGTGGACCAGGCATCCCTGCCTCTGGAGCAAGGGGCAGGGGTGCCCAATCAACCTCCCCATCATGCTTCAGGGTGTGAGACCTCTTTGTGCAGCGCAGAGTCTTCACAACTGGCAGCAAGGCAAAACTGGGTCACAGCCATGGCTGTCAAAGGGGGCACCTCACTCTTCCATGTCGTGTTGCCTGGGATATTGCCTAGAGGAAGGGAAATAACCACGATGGGCTCCATCATCTGTCACACTCGCCATGGCTGCCAGGCACATCATGGTTTACCACCATAAGAGGGCATTATATGTGAATCTGCTCAATGCGTTTGTCATTTCAAAACTCTGTTTCAAACCACATGGGACAGAAGTTTAGTTAATTAGTCCTAGCACTAGCAATCAATTGCACAGCTATTCTGTCTTTGCCTCCTCAAGAGTGCCATCCTCTGTATGATTAGGTGGAAATAAGTCCATCTAGTCTTCAAGGTTGCTGGGACTTTTTCTGGCTAAACATATAAGATGGCACTCTAACAGGTATTTTTCTTGCAAGAAAGAAGTGGACAAAGCAATGGGAAAAGACAGTTACAAACAACATGATGGTGCCGTTTGGTCACAAGCCTATATACAATTCTGTGAATGGTGCAGGGTGACTGCACAGTAAAAACCTCATCTGGAAATACCCTCTGTTAAAAGAGGGAGTTGAAAGTAAAGAACTAAGAAAAACACACTTGACCCTGTGGCCACTTTCTCTTAAAAGGTCAAGAGGCAGTTCATACGAGCATGTTGTGCTCAGTGTCAGTCCCCTTCCTCTTCTCTACAGCTTGCAAACACAGTTTCTGAGCAAGTTGTCTTCACCCAGCACAAACTCCCATGCAGGTCATGCACTTCCCTATTATTTTGGTATTATTTACACAACCACACTTTCCCAAAATATATTAAACAAGAACCACAAGTTCCCTTTGGACAATCTATCAAGCTGAGATGAAAATAATAACTGATATACTAGCCTTTTGGTAGGCTAGTATCAGGCTAAAGATAGATGTTTATTCTTTTGTATTTTTATTGTGCATTTTGATTATCCTCAAAAAATATTTAATGCATGAAGAACCTGGCTGACATAGCGCAGAGTTTTGGAACTGGATCAGTGTTGCCACAAGTCAGTGTGCCCTTTATGTACATATAACAGCTTCAGCATTTGCTGTTGTCATGGGATGTTTATTTTTAAGAAATTACAGTGAAAATGACGAAACTGTCAACCCAGCGTACAACGTCTGTGAAAAAGGCAAAGCCTGTGTTAGATATGATTAGAAATGGAATCAAAAATAAAACTGTCAAGATCACACTGCCCTTATACCAGCTGATGGTGCAGCCCCACTTAGAATACTGTGTATAGTTCTGCTCATTGCACCTCAGCAAGGATATTGCAGAGCTGGAGGATGTGCAAAAAAGGGCAACGAAAATGGTCAAAGGGTTCAAGCAACCCGCTTAAGAGGAAAGGTTACAACAGCTGAGACTGTTCTGCGAGGAAAAAATGGCAAGTAAGGGGAGACATGTAAAGAATTATACATAGTGTGGAGAATGTAGAGGGGGAGATCTTTTCTCTCTGTCATGTGATACTAGAGTCTCATGTGCTCATCCCATGAAGCTGTTTGGTGGGAGATTCAGGACAGGGATAAAAGGAAGCACTTCTTCATATCATGCATAGTTAAACTATGGAATCCACTTCCACAGGATGGCGTGATGGTCAGACAGTTGGTGACTTTAACAGGAAGCTGAGCAAATTGATGGAGGTTAAGGCTATTCCAGACTACTGGTCCTGATGGCCCTGTGCTGCCTCTAGCACCAGAGAGAGTGTGCCTATGTACACTGGTGCTGCTAGACTCACGTCCTGCTTGTTGGTTCCCATGGGCAGCTGGCTGGTCACCGTATCATCTGTCCCCACCCTCTATGTTCCTGCAGTCTCCTTGTGCCTCTGACATTGTACAAGCTCCCTAATCTTATTTCTGAATATGTGCAATTTATTTGTAGTTATTTTTTTTAAAAATAAAGCTGATGGGCTTAGTCTATAAACCCACACAATAACTTACGCCTTTAGGAAAACAGAGGCAAAACCGGACTTTCCCCCACTTATGTAAAGCGTACGTATGTAATTCACAGTATGCAAAGTAAAGTCTTGTTTTAACCTTCCCTCGGTCATGCAAACAATGGCATTGGAGGACTTTCCCCTCCAACTCAAAAGTTTTTCCCACTGTCCCCTAAAAGTGTAGGAGAAAGTTCTGTTGAAAATGTTATGCATCTCTTTCAACCCCAATGCAAACAGTCTAAGTTAACTTTTAACAGAGCAAGTACAGAAAAAGTCTCCTTGTTCCCTAAACAAAAACGGCAGGGTAGCTGCCAAACCCTGGAGCTGCACCTAGAGGGAAAAGGACTCCACTCCACGTCCACAGTGACGATCAAGCTGCTGGCGGGTGGGGGAGAGCAACAGGCACTGTATAACACCCACCGACAAGGGTCACCTGTCCTGCAGCACTTCAGAAGGCAGAACACCTCTCTACATTTTCCACCTGATGCGTTTATCCCCTGTACGCTTGCCGCAGCTCAGTCCTATTCAGGTGTTGGGAAAATGACAGTGAATGCTTGCAGAGGAGGGGGAAGCCCAGCTCTCCCTGCATCACCACTTTTGCTCCCCTCTACCTGCGAAGTGAGACTTGGCAAACTGGAGAGGCTCCTGGGACCCTCCATGCAGTTTAGAAAGCTGGAAAATCCATTTGATCTCCTCCAACAGCCAGGATCAAACAGCTGTAGGGTCATTTTAATGTCATGGGGTATTTTGTTTTTATTGGCAAGGAACCAAGGAAAACAAAGCAGTTTTAGATTCATTTTCTTTGAACAGCTTCCCCAACCCCACCCACAAAATATTGTGGGCAAAATGACTGCTGCAGCCAAGTGGCATTCCAAGAACAGGTTGCCACATGGTGTGTGCAAAGGAAGAGAGAAGGCAGGAATTCTACTGAATTCCTTTGCAAGACCTGAAGTTCAACTATGTGTAATCCCTTCTACATTTGAGTGCTCTCATCCCTCTACCCCTTGAAAAGGCTGAACTAAGCTAGACTGAACAGCTTTGCTTAATAAGCTTCTAAAGCTGAGGTCCACAAATGTGCCCTCCAAGGTGGGCATCAGTTCTCCACACCATCTCCGCTTGAACTTGGACCTTAGGAAAGGAATTGTTCCTGTACTCGAAGCCCTGTGTGATATTAGAAGCAAGTCTAGCCAAAAAATATTGGGCTTCCATTCAAAAGGTGCTACTGAAAATCAAGAGAAACTTGGCTACATATTCATAGAAACATGAAATTCATCACTGGTATTTTAAGGGTATGCCTCATGCTGTGGAAGTATTCACACTCTGCTTTAAAATATACCTCACTGACAGAGCTACGTTTTCTCCATCTACTCTTTGTCTTAATGCAAGAAAAAACAAACAGTCCCTATAACCTCATTACCTTATTAGCAGAGTTCGGGGTCTGAGGAATCTCATCTTTCAGCATGGACAAGCTGTTTCCTTCCATGTCTTTCCCTGAAACACAACAGCATAATAAAGCACTGAGGATTTCAGCAGATAAACAGAACCCCTCAAACAAGCTCTGTGTAAAGGGCTCTATTCTAAAGGAAACCACAGCAGAAAGTGTCACATCCCCAAACAAGGGCCCTAAAATTAGTTAAAGCAAAAGGAGAGCATGTTGAGATAATTAGGACCCATTATTGCAGAAGGCGGTATAGAAGAACAGTCCCACAATCAGGCTACCAGTAGAGGTTCAGATGTAAAGGCTATGCAAGTAGGTACAAAGTTTTTGGCCAGTTCTGCATATTTCTTGAAAAGAGAATTACTTGCTATTCACTGCTTTTTGGCCAAGGCCTAGCTCACTCATGCATGCCTGTTCCTTATCCATCCCTGTCAGCTGAACATATGAACGGACTCCACTGCACAAGTGGCATCTGAGGCAACTGGGAGAGACAGGAACATTCCACCTATATTGCCAGGTCCCTGATGGAGCCATCACATATGCAAGCTTTCACCTGATTTGGTGAAGACTATTTTTGCTCCCTAGGGAGGTTCCTCAAAGCACAGAACACTCTGCCTCTCTCATTGATCTGCCTTGCTTCATGTCTGGAATATGAATCAGTTCTGCCTTTCAAGCTGCTTTTATTAAAAAAGGAAGCCTAAGCTGACTTGTTCCATGGCTTGGCAGGCCCAGTATGACAAAGATTTATAACCGCTGTCTCAGGCTGAGATCCTAGGCAAACAGAGTGGTAAGCTCCAGCGTGGGCACTTGATCTGGCAAGTAAATATTGGGATTATGGACATCCTTACCCTGTCACACTCACAGATGTCTTAAAGCCAGGTCTCTGCACAATGGTCTTCTGCAGGCAGTTGATCACTGAATGAATTTATCTTTCTTTCCATATGTGTTCATTTGTCTGAAGGAGTATATATGGCCCAGCCTGCCAGTTAGTTTTAATGGGAATCCCAAGACTGATTCATGCAGATGTATTTATTTCTTTGACAGTTACAAAAAAAAAGTCACACCATCCCCTGACTGGGCTGACATCTTTCCCCCCAGTTCTGTGGATCAGTTCTCCCACCACATTTGGCATGTCAGTGATACTTCCCCATGTTTTCTCTTCTCCCTCATGCAAAAGGCTTTCACTTGGAAGAATGCCCCAATGTTTTCAATAGCATTTACAGCCAAGGTGTGTTGGATTCCCACCTAAACATCCCTTAGCATCATTCATCTGATACCTTTGTGAATAAGCATTGAGCCTAGCACTTATGTAGTCTCCTTATGCTTTGTATTAGTTACGCCGGCTTTGGCAGGAGTTGAACTTCTGTGCTTTTATAGCTGTTTCAAAACTCACCCCTTGCTTTCCCAGGAATATAGGAAGGCGTGTTTTATACAAACACTGAAGGAATCATTCCTAGGCCTGAGATAGCTTAGGTCTAAGCAGTGAGGTACCTTAAGAATGCTAAGATACATGGCTGCTTGGTAACCTTACATACATTTAAAAGTCATGCACGTAAGTTATCTCCACAACACAATCATACAATAAACACTGACAGACACACTTCAAAAGGGAAAACTCCATTATGAGCAAGGAACGATGAACAAGCCCAAATGCAAAGGAGGCAGCAACAGGATGGATCTCCTGGAGAACTGCAACCCCAGACCACTGGGATCTCACTGCCAGGGGACACCTGCATAAATCCCCTGGTACTGGGACTTCAAAACATTGTAAGACTCCTAATGAATCTCCCATAAGATAAGAGAGATTGGGCTACCTCTGTACTAACAGCAGCAGCATCTTCTGTTCGTTGTTTAACAAGCCTTCACAAGACCCTAACACTTCCTTTATCCTTTCTTCCTGATTCAGTTGTTTTCTTTGCTGCTAAGCAATAATCTTGACTAATCACTGATGGAACATTAATTGGCTTGGCATGGTAGAGAAGAACAACCACACTACCTGCATCACCATTATTAGGCATTCTATCCAGAAGAAATTAAAAATGGAGTGAGGAAGAAAAGAGCTAATTGGCCCTAATGATCAGGGAATCTAATGGAGGGCCTTTAACTCCCTGGAGAGCAACCTTAAGCCTATGCTGCAATGGCCATCAGGATGTGAACTTGACAACCTCAGTGGCAATTACTGGCAGGTAATATGCATAGGATTGTCCTGAAGAACAATTGCAGGAAAGGAAAAAAACAAAAAACAAAAAAACAGGACTGGGCTATAGAACTGCTACAAAAAATGGAATAAATGTGTATTCAGTGGCACCACACCACATCTCTGTTGAATTTCTGCCTATTGTTCAGGTAGCAAGAAACAAACGGTTGCTCAGGGGAAAAAGAGGGCAATGCTAGCCATGATGTACATAGCAGGCAGCATTCAACTGAAGAGGCAGTAATCACTGAGCCGCAGAGGGTTGCCAACCGTTTTGCTGGCCCTCCTGTCTTGCTTCCAGCACCTGACAAATGGCCGTATAGTTCCCACCATGACCTCCACGCCACAGAAAGTTTCCTTGGTGAAATACCAGAGTGCCATTCAGTTAGTAAAGGCGCATCAGCAGGACAATGAACTAAGGCAGCAAATCTAGACATGGTTTGGGCCGATTTGAAATGCTGGCCCTTACTTCTGAAGCATTTTACTTTTAGTTTTTGTAAAATAAAAACTACAATCCCCAAATCTGAACACACACATGATCACTTGTGTTCAGCCAAAAGGGTAGCTTCGTACAAAACACGACAGAGTCTCCTACTCCAAACAATTGTAAAGAAGAGGAAATGCAGAAAGTGACCTTTTCCTTCAGGCAGGGTGCAATATGTGAAGCCATTCCCTGTACAAAGCTGCAGTAAAAGGAAAGGCTTCCCATGTTTGCTCTGCTAAAGACGTGGGAGGCAATGAGGAAAAATTGTGGTGTTCCCAAATAGCCCCTTGCCCAAGCTTTCTCCCATATTTCTCTTGACCACTCATTCAATTTCATAGAAAATAAGTTCCTTTTGAAAAGAAATGCAGTGGTGCAGAACAGTTTGGAGAAAGGCAGGTTGGGCTTGGGTTCTTGTGCTTACCTTTCTTAGGAGGTGCACAAGAAACCCACAAGCCTTCTTTTCACAGTCTGGAGCCTCCTCGCTTCCCACACGTCAATTAAAGCCCAGGGGAACAGATGAAAAGGTAATTCGTGCTGCAAGGCCTTTTCCGATAGGGACGGCTGCAGAGCAATGTGCAATAGCAAGAAAGCACACCCAGCAGCCACCTCGCAGTGAGCAGGTGAGCTCAGGGACACCGCAAGAGTAAGTGAGAGCCCATTCCAGCCGTAAGGCAGAACAACTGAGGCCCACTGCTGGAAGGCGGAAGGCGGCTTTAAGGAGCTCAGAGGGCAGATCCAGGCACAGCACTAGCCCCTCCTCTTCCCTGGGGCCGGATACAACACTGCCTCCCTCAGGGCTACGTTCAGTCAATGCAGGAATGGGGGCCAAGCTGCCAACACTGCTGATGCCTTGGTGGCAGCAGGAAAAAAACAACAATTCTGAGAAGGGAAGAAATGTGCTACATGCCCTGGCAAGGGTGAGTTCTACTTGCGAGAAACCATTGAGGATTTCTCCTCTCCCTAGACAAACTTGGTGAAAATATCCCTCTCCCTTAATTTCTTCATCCACAAATAGGACAGATAATCTCAAGAGGCTTTTTACACACAGCTCTAGAATTTATCGCACGTGGGTCAGGGCAGGTTATGTATTTCTCTTTAATTATAGATTAAACAAAAATGGGGAGGGAGGAGGAGGAGAAAAACAAACAGAGTCTGCAGTTTATTACAGTCTTCTCTAATCTGGTGTTTTCCAGAAGTTTGGACTTCAACTCCAAGGGCACGTGGGCTCAGAATGATGGCAGTTGTAGTCCAAAATATCTGGAAGGCCTATGGGGAAGACAGGTCTGTTCAGTTCCCTCCTCAGTTTGTTTTGCTGACCCAACTCAATGGTTCTCAGACATAGGAAGAGCTTTGTGGAGAGGCTTTGGATAGAAGGCAAAGGGAAGAATATGCCGCCATAGACACAATGCCTTGCTCACCTCTCCATTTAGATATATATTTGAATAATGCAGGCATGGGATTTGCTCCTATCCCAGTGGGAACTGCAGTTCTGGGGACAATCGACTTCTGGAGCCTGCAGCCCATCATCCACCAACCCTGTACTTTTCTAGTAATATATTTACAAGGGAATCTTGCTTGTTGCTAACTGTTCCACAAGGCAGGCAGTGTTATTTGGACAGCAACAAGTTGTGATGGTCCCTTTCACGTCTGTGCTGGGGTCCCACTAAGGCTCCTTTTCAGTAGGAGCAAAATATCCCACTCATGAGAATGAGATTTAGGGCTGCAAACTCACCACACCGGTGCAGGAGGAAATCCCACTGAACAAGCTAACACGTAGCAGTCAGTATGGTAAAACAATGTAGCTGGAGTTCTCCCCCTTAGGTTGGTTTCTCTATAAATGACAGTACTGTTTGCAGCTACTGGCTTTCTTATCTTTAACACTTGTTGGCCATTTTGTTGTTATTATAGTGGAATTTCATTTCAGTCTGTTTGTATTTCATTGTATTTTATCGTGTTGTAAGCCGCCCCGAGGTTTCAGCAAGGGGCGGCATAGAAATGTTATAATAACAACAACAACAACAACAACAACAACAACAACAACAACAGCAGGTCAGAAATCTTTTTCAACAAACTAATGTGAAGCAAGATGTCCCTATTTCAAACTTCCTCTCACTCATTAACAAGGTGGGCTTAAGACCAAACTAGACCTGACATGATTAAATTGCCTGCATTTTTAAAAGCCTAAAAGCAGCTGTTGAAGCACAAATCCTATCAGGACTGAGTGTTAACTTTTTAAGCTGTTTTCCAAATTGAGTCTCCTCCTCCTCCAGAGCTCCTATTTGAGCTGCAGGGAAAAGTTCTGGGGTGGCCAGGTGTTCATTTGAAGAGGACTGTCCTCTGTTTGAAGGACTGACCTGTCCAATTCTGGTTTAAAGCTGAGGAGCCACAAGAACTGCTCTTTAACACTGGCTACCTGGACACCAGTCTCGGTAGGCAGGCCGCCCAGGTCATCTGGCTGTGGCTATCGCCTTGTACAGTATGGCGATATGCCCTGCATGTCTATTTGAATTATAATAATTATCTCTAAATAGGCATCTATGCATATATGTTGAAATAAGCACATATTATGCAAATTGACGTTCTCTCTTTGATGATTTGCTTCTTTGGTCAGTGAACGGCCATAACTGCAGCAGTCTGTGCTCCAAAGAGGAGCCACAAAAAGTGTGTGAGACTTAATAGTCCCCATTTCTGGAGTAGCTGGTGACTCAGGAAAGCGCTTAAAGGGTGGAGGATACTGAGAACTGTCAGGATGTCCAGTACAAACAAATGTGAAACAAACATTTTTGTTGAATGAGACACAGCCCGAGATCCTTCGACGTGACGAGGCAGGCACCGAAGTCATGATCCGCCGATGAAGCATTTTGCAGTGGTGCTCACAGCCGTTTCTTAAAGTCTAATAAAGTTGAGGGCCCATTTTAGGGCTTCTGTTGTAGGCTACCCGAAGTTCTATATAAGAGTACACCCCTTATAGGTGGGGATACTTTGCAAGCCCCACTTATAATAGATAATATTGATTCTAAATATTAAGTGCAAACTCATTGTCTGGGTTTTATTACTTAGGTAGCCAAAATGACATTATCCATACCCGAAGGGAAAGGTATTGACAGCCCTGGGGAACCCAGGTTGGTTTGTGGAAGGTTTGTAGAAACACACACACACAATCTTTAGGAAAACTTGAAACCTGGGGGGGGAGTAGGATGAAGGACCCCCCCCAAAAAACCCCCACTCAAATGAGAACTAGAATAGTAAATAGCAGCAAGAACAATTATACTACACTAAACAACATCCTCCCTCTCCTGTTGTGCTTTTCTGAACACACAGGCTCAGCTCTATGTTTGGGGAAGGCTGCTCCCGTTGGGTCCCCTTTCCCAAATAAATCTGCCCGTTTCCCCAGTATGATATGGTAGAGGAGGATTTTTTGTTGGAAACCATTCCCATTCTACTGTACATCACCTGGAAATCTACCAGTAGATTCCAATCTAGCTCATCCTGGCATACAACATATTACAAAATCCACAGAGCACGCACTGACCTGGGCTGATTGGGTAGATCTCATTATCGGCCCCAAAAAACAGGTTCCGGGTCAGCTTGCGAGGATCAATTTTCTGAGGAGTGGATGCAGCAGGGCAGAGTGAGAATCTGCGCCGAAGAAAATTCTCTTCCTTCATGGCATGTGCTGCAGGGGTTTTCTAAAGGAAGGGACAGAAATAACAGTAGCGTCAAGTCACAGGAAACATAAATGTCACACTCTGCCCAATTGTGCATTTTTTGTTTGTTTTCACTATGCTTTCTTATTCTTAAACGGAGTGTTGGGCTTCTTTTAACCCTGCTGTGGTCAAACACACACACAGAAAACCTACTATGATTCGTTATTGCTGGAAGTTTACTAATTTCAGTAGGTAAGGCAGATGCACATACAATTTTCTTTCATTAAACCAGCCAGAATAATATTTATTACTCAATAAAGCATTTTGAAATGATTTTCGGATGGGTTGAGAAAATAACATACCTTTTAAAAAAATATTTGATATCCACATTCGGAGTATTTGCATTTTTTAACATTCTTATTCACAAACAAATTTTGATGAAGAGCTTGATTCCAATCAATTTCTCTGACCTGACGATTTTGGAACTTTTACGGTATGTTTGTTTACTTTCATGCCAAATGCTTAAAAGGAGTTCACTAATTTTCTCGAAGACTCCATAAATTGAAAAATGTTATTGTCCGAATGAAGGTCAAATAACTGGTGGTTTGACAGAAAATCAGCTGGCATCTGCAGCAGCTCAAGCTACGGAGGAGGGCACAGCTAATACTGACTTGCTGAAAAGCTGGTAACTCTAATCACACAACTTATATCCATGGTGTATGTAAATCAAACTGGGATTTTCTGTCTTTCCAGGATCACTGCCCTGTACCATATTCATCCAGAAACCAGTGTCACAATAAACTCGGAGTTAGGTGCCCGAGTGACACTCCCCCGCTTCAATAATCCATTGCTGCAGTATTGTTGTTATCCATAGAATGCAGCAGATAACAACACAGCCAGAGTGTTTATGATGCAATCAACTAAGTAGCTTTGGCGATGTTTGGTTATGCAAAAGTTAGATCTCCAAGAGCTTTTCCTGCCCCCATGGCCAATGGTCAGGAATACTGGGAGCTGAATGCAAAAATCAGAGTTCTAATTTCTGTCTGCCTCTAACAAAGACTTCAGGTATTGTGACTAGCGAAGGAAACCACAACACAACTGAAACTAGTATGAGAAGAACACAGCACAGCTGCTGAAATGACACTCCATATTTCAACAGTAGGTAGGGAGATATATATTGGGGAAGGAAGTTGTTTAAAAACAAATATCACACAACATAATTCACAAATAACATTATCATAAATGGACTGGAAAGAAATGACCCAAGTGTATCACCAAAACAAACAGACAGACTTCCGTCTTATTAATCCCCATCACTCCTCATGGACGCACATCAAGTTGAGTGTCAGCTGAAGCTGCTGCAGTTTCCCACAGCATGACTCAAATCTTTAAAAAGCCCCCTTTGGGAGTAGTTATGCCTGGACACCTTCTCTATCCAACTAGGATGTGCCCAAATAACAAAAAGAGGCCTGAAAGAACTACTGGCTCTATTTTTGCACTGCCAAAACAATACCAGGTGGAGCACCACTTTTACTACAGTGTTTAGCAAGGATAACCCAAGGTATCGTCTGAGTCAAAAGACAAAGTGGCATCCTGCTCCCCACCCCACGGATTCCATGTATGGAAGCCAACACGTTTTCATCCCCAGTTAAAACTCTCTTCCGCATGGTGACAGGGCAGCATTGTCCATCACATTTGAAAACAGCAGGCCAGCTTAGAAGTTATAGCGTGGGTAGAGTGCCCCGTGTCCTGCTTTAGAGATGACAGCCCTTTATCTGAAGAGCTATCGGGGAGCAGTGTTCCCTTTGAAGATGTCCTCTTTCTGAAGGACTGCCCAATCCATGGCCAGTGGCCCATCAAAGGTAAGCACCTGCGCAACAGACTGAGCAGGTAAGCAGGTCACCTGAGCAGAAGAGATGTGATGAGATATCCTGCATTTCTACACAAATTATTTCTAAATTTACGTACAGAATATAAATCAACATGTGCATATTTTATGCAAATTACTGTTCTTTTAATCCTTTATTATTTATATTTATATATTATTTATATCCATTTATTATTATTACTATTAACCCTTATTTGGTGATCCATTAGTGGCTGCTCTGAGGGGCAGCCCAAATGCTCCTTAGAAACACATAGTTATATCTTCCAGCATCTAATCATTGCTTCCTGTTCCTGCTGTCTCCACCTCAGGTAACTGTCTCATTTGGTCTAGTAGTAGGCTTACCTTCAGTGTTTTACAGCCACCTATAGTCAGATTTACTTCATATCAGTTTCTTTGCTTCATTAAGGATGAGCAGGGGTAGGGGATTTGGGGGCCATTTGTACTCCACCCTCCTCTGGCCACACTGAGATTGGGGGAACATATATTAATCACCATGGGTACGCTTCCGAAATCACCAGCAAACTCAGTGAAGAGCAGCTTGGAAATCTGGAGAGTAGAGGAATGGACCCAGTGAGCAATGCAAAAGCAATAGCACTTCTGTGGTGCATGAAGCAAAAGCCACAGCACAGAACAAGCTATAGAAGAAGAGTGACGCCTGCCGTATATGCGGATAGAACCACTAAATTGCCATCAGGAAAGTGGCTCCTGGCTGCTGCTTCCACAGCCCAGCAAAAGCAAACTTATGCCTCTGAGAAACATTTTAAGCAACAGTCAACAACCACTAATTATTCTGCACTGTAAGCAGGATGGATCAAGGTCCACTTGTACTCCAATGGACCGGCTGATTTAGCACCATTTTAAAGTGCATCAATGGAATGTTCTGTTCACAACAGATCGGTAAACAGTAACTAAAAAGGTCAGTCTTCACATGAAGTAAGTTTACTCTTTTAAATTAGGCCAACAAAAAGCAGGGAGAATGCTTCAGAGTGGATCCTGAGAACCCCTAAACAAAACAGCCCAATAAAAGGAAGCTGAAAGCAATGGAGATGCTGCAGGAGAAAATTACAAGAATCAATCTCTATAATATCAAAGATTTGCCACTGCAAGATTAGAATGGGGCCCATCGGAGTCCTATTTGTGTCAGGTACTCATCTGGAGGGGAGATCTATTAATGTATTGTCGCTGACTTCTGAGTACCGTTGCAAGAAATGACAGCATCTTCTCATGGGCAGTTTCAGATGTTCAACAACTTTCTGTCTTGAGTGTTCCTCATGTAGGGATGCCTCTTCCTGAGGAGTGGCAAACACTTCTGTTCTTTAAGAATGGTAGTATTTAGAAGCACCCTGTGTGTGTCCCCATACAACAGCACCCCAGTTTCCTCTGCTTTTGCCAGTGGGTAAGAGCAGGGCAAATCCATTGCAGATGCCTTCATGAGCTAGCTGGGATGGGCTGCAACAACCATTGGACTAGCTCAGGTCTTATCCAAAAACTAGTTATATGAAGATTTAGTTGATTAACTAAGGAGAGTTGGTTATATGGCAATATTTAATTTAAAGGGTTGCAGATTAAGGGTAAGTATGCTTTTATTTTGGTTCCAGTGTATTATGAAGCATGAAATATTAAAGCTGTATTTTCCTACTGATAACAAATAGTATCATAAGCACAATACAGCAGATAACACACACATTCCTGATACAGTTAGAGTGTAATTTCTGGAATAGTCAAAGTGAGAAAATAATGAGATAAATAATCATGTTCTTCAAATGAGTGCAACTTTTGACAGTTGTAGAGGCATTGCTAAATAAGACTTGAACTGTGGATTTGTCTCTTAAAAACGTAGAATGGTCTTCAAAAGCTACAGAACAAAAGAATCGGTCATTGAATTGCAATTGAACAACAATACAAAAGAGGGTGTTTAGGAAAACAGCCTGCATCTAGGAAACAAATCCTTAATAAACTTTTAAGGTGAGGATCTAGTAATGTATGTCCTCAACATTTTGCAGTTGCAAAGACAAAAGAGAAATAACCTTTTGTGCTTTTATATGGAATAATAAATGCTTATAGAGTCCAGGACAGGAAGTAGCAGATAAATCAGGCCATATCTGCTGAACTAGTAAAAAAAGACATTAGATCCAAAATGTTCCAGATGTGACAGACCTACTGCAGTTTTATTACAGGATCTGCAAACTGACACTGCTGAGCTAAGCTAACTTTCCCTTTTAAAAGTAACAGATTACCCTACCATGATGGAGCCCTACCTTGGCATGTGATTTCAGACATTATGGCAGTTGTGCAGCTGCTGTTTGCCATGTGCAGCCTCATCCTGCCCTGCGCTTGTGTGGTAACGGGTAGGATCAAAGGGGAAGAAGATGTCAGAAAGGATGGGTCACGGGTCAGCATCCCTGAGCCAAGTGCTGCACTGCCTTGTCCTCCCACAGGCCCTCTTCTGCTCTGGAGTGACTGGAGGTGAAGCTGTGTAGGAAGCAGCAACCACAGAGTTCTCTAAAGCAAGAATTGGTTCTTAATTTAGGTTCCCCAAGCCAGGCTCGTGATGCTACATGAGGCATACGAGGCTGTTTCGTGGAAGGCAGATTGTATTTGGCTACAAATCCATTTGAAATGAGTTTAATTCGGGCATTCTAATCATGTGTCGTGCGATCAGCATGATGCTGGAGAGCAGTGATAAGCATGCTAGTACTGCCCCGCCCCCAGGGCCACCCTCTTCCTCTGTGTGGGGAGGGCAATGGGGGAACTATAGGGAGGGTGGAGATAACAGACTCCCCTTGCTCTCCTCCTTCCAGTGTTCATTGTGCACTTACTCCGAACTCCTGACAAAAGGAATACAAAAAGAGAAACTAACGTAGATATTGCTGAATGGGACTGGTGTGGTGCTAGTGGACATTTATATCTCCACAAAGAGACAAAGGAGATAGTGGTGCCCTTTCCAAAAAAATGTAAACCATTGTCCTAATGCAAATATATTTATTTCACTCTCTTTCCTCTTGCTGGATAATTTAACAGCTGAGCAAGAGTGCTTGAGTGTGCATTGAACAAAAATACAGGATTTCATAAACAATTATAGCTTTCCATTTGAACAATATTTTTTAAAAATGGAAGGATTTTGACCTTGCAAGTGTCATGAATGGGACTAACA